AAAACTAAATTTATTTAAAATATTTATTTTACATAATTTCAAATTTTTATAAATAATTTATGAAATTATATTTTTTAATATTTTTCTTGGTTTTTAAATTTTAGTTTTTTGAAAAACAGCATTAAGTAATATCGAGAGTAATATTCAGTGATTTGTGATATAATTCTCTCATACATAATCAATTTATGTGTCACATAAGACATGTTAAACTATGTAATTATGCATAAGGACCAAGGGGGTGGCTAACGGGCTTTAGCCCCCCCCCCCAAATGGCTAGCCCCAAACATTTTGATAATTTTATTAGGTTTATTGACAAATTGACATTTTACTTTAAATTGTTATAAAAAAAAATTATCAACTATCGAAATTGAAACATTAGGTATAACATAATATTATATTATATCATTGATTTTATAATTTTATTATATTTATACCTGTCATTCCGGGCCTCGGGAGAGACCTCTGTTGTCTATTATTATCGTGGCGACGTCGTTAGTTGAACTTGAAACTGTGTACTGTGTAAGATACCGGAAACGTCTAGATTATACATTTTTATCGATACAATTTAGATTATCGCAAACCGCAGGTATCTTTGCGTTAACAAACTCCACTTTCATTTTATTACTTATTTAGCAGATTAATTAGTATTGTCGACTGTCGTACAACTGTTCAAGTCAACATCGTTGGTTTTTCGCGAGCTTATTTATTTATTTATTCATTTTTAATTGTTAATTGTTTTTTGTTTATTCAAATAAGTGGATTTAAAATTTTAATATAATGAAACGTAATCATTCTGGATCATTATTAAATTATTTTAAAGTTGGGTCACACACCACACCTGCAGAAGTCCAAAAAGAATCAGTTGCTATGGACAGTTCATCGACAATAAATAATGATGCTACAGCTACATCAAATGAATGTAATGTTCAACCAAATGACGGTAATAACATAGTACCAAAATATGATATATCTTTATATGTAAACAAAAAAATGAGTGACCATGAAAAAATTAATTTTATTAAAAATATGTGGGTTACCGATAATAGTTATACTTTTAAAACTCAACAAATAGGTTCTCAAAACAGAAAATTTAATCGATTTTGGTTAATAAAATATAAATGGTTGGCTTATTCGAATTTGGAAAATAGTGTCTATTGTAAGATGTGTGTTTTATTTGCCCCTTCAAATGCTGGTCACTGTTCTTCTAATCAATTAGTTAAAACAGGATACAATAATTGGAAAAAATGCTTTAGAACGATTTGAAAAACATTTACTTTTAAATTATCATAAAGATGCTACTTTAAAATATGATACTTTTATTGATATTATGGGTGGAAAATTGTTACCAATCAATAAACAAATTGATAAAGATTCACAAAAACAAGCCTTAGAGAATTCGGAGAAGCTTAAACCAATTATAAAAACAGTAATTTTATGTGGGCGTCAAAATTTGTCTTTAAGATCGCATAAAGATTATGGAGTTTTTGATACAAAAATAGAGCCCAATAAAAATGAGGGTAATTTCCGTGCTATATTAAGGGCTAGAATAGAATCAGGTGATGAAAATTTAAAAAAGCATTTTGAAACTTGTGGTAAAAATGCTACTTATATAAGTTGGAATATACAAAATCAAATTATTGAAGCGTGTAATGAAATAATTATTCAAAAATTAGTCACTAAAATCAATAAAGCTAAATTTTTTAATCAAATGCAGCTGAAGTAGTTCCAATTAGAAATGCTTTTGCCATTATCCAAAAAATATATACATTTTTTAATACCCCGAAACGGCAAAATGTCCTTCAAAATAATATCGAAACATCAACTCATAATTCAAATAAAACGAAATTAAAGCAACTTTGTCCAACCCGATGGGTTGAACGTCATGATTCAGTTATTATAATGAAACAAATGTTGTTGCCTGTAGTTGCAGCTTTAGAAGAAATACAGTCATGGAATTGTACAGACTCATCGTCTAATGCGTTCTTACTGTTAAGTGGAATTCGACAATCAAGTTTTATTATTTCACTATTGTGTGCAGAGAAACTTTTAAGTTATACTTTATCAATCAGTAAAATTCTTCAATCGAGTGATTTAGATATTTCAGAGGCTTTGAATAACGTGTAGTATTTGTTCTTCGTGAGATACGAAGTAATGTTGAAAATGAATTTAAAATAATTTTCGACGAAGCAAACGAAATTGCTAATGCTTTAGAACTAACAATTACTATGCCCAGATTAACAAAAAATCAAACTAAACGGTGCAATGTACCAGCAGAAAATGAAGAAGAATATTATAGACGTGCCATTTTTATTCCATGGCTAGATTGTTTTATAAATAATATATCAGACCGATTTTTAAAGCATAAATGTATTATTAAAATAAGTGTCTTTTACCAACTGGAAATACTCCTAATCAATACAAATGATTACAATGAGTCAGAATCGACTGAATGGATTAGCTATGCTTCATATTCACAGAGAAATAGATGTTCAAACTTCAGAAGTACTCTCAGTATTGGGGAAAAAAGGACCAAGGCGTCTCAACTAAAAGGTTAGACTTCTAAAAAATAATCATTATATATTTATATTATTCATAATTAAATAAATAATATTTATGTTTTACAGGTATAACATCAAGGCTACGGTGACACTTAAAACCGGGACAAAACTAAAAATAATTTGTTAGTAAAAGATTGTAAAAAAGCTTAAAGATTCCTGTACATATTTCAAAATAAATACTACCTATTAATATTAAAATTATGTGAATTTAGCCCTCCCCAAAAAAAAATCCTGGGTGCGCCCCTGATAAGGACATAAGAATCACCTTGTATATATTTATGTTTATAAAACAAATATTTATTTTATTTTTGTCTTACTTTACTGTAATCGGCTGCAGAATTAGTTTATAATAGCCCATCGTTTTGATCTTTGATAGATAAATTCAATTTGGAAATTATGTGTTCGAGCCGACGACATTTGTTCTTTAGTCGAAGATCTGGCACTGTTGTTTGGAAAAATTGAAAATTTCTTTTCGATCTTCGAGGAGTACTAAAATCTACCTATGTCGAGTCACCAAATCTTGACGAAGAACACAATACTTTTCTAGGGAACACTGATGAGCTAGAAAATTGTTTCCTGTATGGAAGTAACAATATAATATTGTTTTAAATATTTTATATTAAGTATTATATTTAAACTGTACATTTATTAGTTAGGAGGTACCTTTTATATTCATACAGTGGTGTTTCTGGTGATTGAATCTGATCATTTTTGTCTTTACTGTAACAATTGTTACATTTTACTTTTTCAAAACATCTGGAGTTGGTACTGCGTCATATTATACTAATGTGTACAATATAATGCTGTGATTTAAACAAATTTTATCCCACTGGCCAGTGCTTGTCAAGTTCAATATAATTAGCCACAAGTTTTTCCTTTGATCTTTGGGAAATCTACCGTTGAGAAATAAAATATTTTATTGTTAAAATTAAAACTATTAAATTCTTAATCAGCGACGTACTTACAAATGAAAAGATGGTTTATCATTATTTATCGACGATGACCCACAGTATAAACATTTATAAACCATGTTAAAAAAAAAGCAAAAGTATCTACAATTATGAACTATAATATTTTACTTGTTCGACATTAAAATTATAAATTTTATTTAACTCAATATCATCTGTATATATAAAACAGTAAGCTGATTGACTGCTATCAACGCACAGCTCAAACCATTGGACGGATCTGGCTGAAATTTGGCATACAGATAGCTATTATGATGTAGACGTGCGCTAAGAAAGGATTTGCCAAAATTCGCATTTTAAATAGGTGCTCAAACAGGGACATTGAGATTCTCGATGGGAATTGGAAATTGTATTTTTATTTATTAATAGTTGCCATTGGTTACAGTCTACAGCAGAAATTGGCATTTATTTATTGGTTGCCATTGGTTATTCGGGCAGATCAGGTACAAGCTTGCATCAAATCGAATTATTGAACATTACCTACCAGGGTGGCTGAGTTGCACTTACCGCAGCAAGTTACACTCAAAAGGAGTTCAACGATCATAATTTTTTTAAGAGGTGCGATTTTTTACGAGCAACCAAATTTGTTATATTAATCCACCGTATTATATCAAAATAAACTTGGTATAACTTCGATACTTTAAAGTTAAGTCATACACTTCCGTCAAACAGCACGGGGCCCGCGATCTACCGCAAGTAGATTGCCTACCTGATAATGTACTGCTGTCTGTGCTGCGATTCAGAATTTTTATTCCAGGCAACGGAAAAGATAAAATAAATTTTGACCACCATACACCGAATATTGAACAAAGTTTGAGTCATATTGAGTTGATACATTTAACGGGCGACGAAGTGCACTGGATCAGCTAGTTTCCTGCACGAACCAACAAAATCCGACAAGCTCAAGTTGAATAATTTTACTATCAATTTGATAACCACATAATATTATAATCTGTGTTGATAACAGTTGTCTACCAATTGCACAGATTTCTATATATTTCTCATAGACATATATTGTTATTGTCATATATTGCTTATATATGTCTATGATATTTCTATATATTCTATATATGTGTAGTATAGAAGTCTGTGACCAATTGTCCCAACTTTTTCTTTATTCCAATTTACAATCGTCACAATACAATTTTGATCAAAATCTATAATCTATATTATTCAAACAATTTTCCCTATTCATAATTAACCTATAATTTCTATTGTGAGTGTTTGAGTTCTGCCGAAAAAAGTATTGTCTCGACGGCCAATGGGACAATTTATAATAATTACAATATTGTGTTTGTAGAATTATCATAATATTTTGTATTCGTGGACGTATAATATCATCATATCCGTGTTGGGGTTTATCTATGCGACTTGTTGCGCGAAACGGTCAACACAGTCAAAGTTTCGGTTCGTTTTTGATTACTTCGCAAAGTATAACGCGAGAATACAAATTCCGAGTGTTTCAGTCGGCAAAATGAACGATTTGAAGTGGAACGGCAAAGAGATAATTTCTTTTTTAAACATTTTCCAAAACTATCCGTGTTTGTGGGACGTCCAGTCGGACAATTATTTAAATCGTAACGTGAAGGACGAGTCGTACCCAAAGCTTTTAGAAGACCTGAGAATCGCCGAAATTCCTGGTACACCCGAGTTGATAAAAAATAAAATAAGAATCTTACGGGACACCTATCGAAAGAAACTTTACGAGTTTCAAAAGTCGAATGACGGTGCAAACGTTGAGGTGCACAAGCCAAAGCTGATATGGTTTTCTGCGGCCGATGTATTTATTCATCGTTCGGCCACTGACGGGGAATCATCTTCAAATTTGGTAAGCATATAATTTAATATACCTACTAATCGGGAGTGATTAACAATAATATAATATAATTAAGAGGACGTCGCATCCGCATAATGTTGTCTCCGTCTTACACATGTACAGCATAGAAAAAACTTATTGGCGCAGGAAAGAACCGAGAAGGCTACAGTCATAACTCATAACTAAAGACCGTATTTATATGTTTTTAGTTTTTACATATCGTTACTGGGTCTATGCACAGATTTCTATATATTACTAGATAGCGAACTCCGGTCATGAATTGAAGCTTCAAGGTCGGTTGGCAATTGTATGGTATTTCATATGACAAATAAGATGATATTATGATTTATTTTATATCGTATTTTATTATTTTTAAACATTTAGTTTACAAAAAAAAAAAAATATTTTATATAGGTAAGTCATTTTACATTTACTATTTTATTTGACCGTTAAAAAAAATATTATTCCTAATACAATTTGTATAATAAATGAAATGTTTTGCCAACCGACAAAATGGCGGCCGTTCACAGCTGAGCTTCACTTGTAACAATGTAAATTATATAAGAGTTCCTTATCTAGTGTAGTATAGAAGTCTGTGGGTCTATGCAGTCTTATGAGAGTAAAATATGTGGACGTTTCTTTCAATTCTGAATGCGTAGATAAAAGTTTTTTTTGCATATTTGAGAATATTTCATGGGTTGGAGAATATTTAACCCATTTAGCATATTTTGGAATATTTCGTAAATTTTGAGAAAAAATTTGTATTTATTTTTAATTTTAATATTACTGTACCTACCCAGAAAAAAATGTTTGGACATTTAAAATTTTTTTTTTTATATAATTTCCAACTTTTACTAAATTGCAATAGTACTACATTAGAATATGCAACTTTTAATACCTAATTAATACCTCACTAATATAATAATGTAGAAAAAAATTAATTTAAAAATGCATATTAAAGCATAATTGATGTTTATTGATTATTTTTGCATATTTATGCATGCTTTGCATTTTTTAGCATATTTCTTAAATTTTTAAGAGAATATAATGAGAATATATTTGAAGGCTTTTTAGAGAATATAAGCATCATATTGTAGGTATTTTAAGAAAATATAAATCCGGTCTTTAGTCAGAGGTAACTAAGAAACTAAATTTTCACCACCACCTATAAACTAGAATGATTTCTGTGTAATATCGTTTTTATTTTTCTGATGTCGCTCATACGAAAAGAGTTCTCATTGTTTCAAAATCCATTATTATTTGTGTTTTAAGAACTTTAATATTAGATTCTGAGTGGAACGATGAATGTACCTATTGATTTTACAATGATGTGTGTTTTTTTTTTTTTTTTTTGTGTCTGTGTAGTTGAAATAATGCTTCTATTTCAACTTCAGTATCTTGTTCGATTGGAAAGTGAATCTAGTTGGTGCATTCGGGAGGGCAAATTTTAAAATTCCTAATAGTTTTCACAAGCGCCGGGATCAAACACATAAAAATTAAAGAATAACGGGAATTTGTATGCAAAATCTGTTTTCCAAAAAAAGTAGTTTGGTGTAACTCTAAAATAAATTACCGTAGGTACATGAAATTTTGACTGAATGTTTGTATTAGCATTTTCTATACACCATAACATTTTCAAAATGTTTTGATTTATTTTGAACTGTTTAGGTACATTTTCATTTTCCATTTTTTTTTTTAAATTTTATTTGTTGGTTAAAAAAGCTTGAAAATTTAATACAAGGCTTGTACTATATTTGTACAATGGCATTTGATAAATATTAAAAATCCTTAGTCACAGTTTTTTTTTATAAGCATTTAAAGTTCAAAAATTGACAAATTATAGAAAAATCACAAAAATTAGGTAATTATATTGAGTTAAAAATTTGTAAAAATTTTTCTTTTTTAATCTAAGATTTTAAAATGTAATACAAGATTCCATATAAGATTATCTACCTTTATCAAAAAAAAAATGTCTATAAGAAAGTCAAATTAAATTTTTATGAGAGTTTGAAATTCAAATTTTTACAACATTGGATATTCACTTGATTTCTCATGTAGCGATTTCCTTCTTTTGTTGTAATTCCAAAACCAATAACTGTAGATACATGAAAATTTCACTGAATATTTATATTAACATTTCCTATACACCATACAATTTTGAAAATATTTTGACTCTTTTTGAGCTGTTTACGGACATTTACAGGTTTAAAATTATTTTAGTTTTTTTTTTCTATAAATATGAATAAAGTTTTATCTGTTGGGCGAAAAAGTGTAAAAATTTAATACAAGGCTCCTGATATATTGATACATTAGCAGTTGAAAAATATTAAAAATACATAGGCACAGTTTTTTTTTTTTAAGCATTTAAAGATCAAATTTTGACAAAATTTATCAAATTTAAAATTGAGTAATTATTTTGTAGTTAAAAATGTATAAAATGTTCAACTTTTATATCTAAGGATTGAAAATTTAAAATAAGATTCCACATAAGAAGTTAATTCTGTTACCAAAAAATCTAAAAAATACATAAGCACAGTTTATTTTTATAGTCATTTTAAGTTCAACTTTAGACAAAATTACATTAAAAAAAACTTAGAATAACTATTTTAGTTATTTTGTTGTGATTGTGTAATATTATTTGTGGGTACTTGAAACTTCTAAAGTACACTATTATATATCTATGGAGTATGGGCTATGATAGTATCAGGGTTTGTTGTTGACGTATAACGCATTATAAGTACCTAATGGATATTGTGATATGATTAATTTTCAATTCATTATAGGTAAACCTATTTTAGGTAAATTTTTTTGATACGATAGATAAGTATCTAATATGTCTTATACCTAGACTGACATACCGTCTCCGCTCAAAATCGTTTTTCTTATATAATGATATTATTTCATTGAATTCAAATTTAATATCGTCCATTATACAGTGACCCACTTGTAATCTACTGTACAGCAGAGCACCTTTTTTTTTTTTTTTTGAAGTTCCGATAATGAAAAAATAAAAACGATTTTTTTATTAATTAATATTTTACATAATAAATGTAATATTTCAAATCGGTTAGGTTATGTGCTTGAACATAAAATTTAATATTGCTTATTATAAAATAGATAGGACACTGGAGTTGTGAATCGCACATTTCTCAAAATATTAAAATTAAAATGTCTGTAAAATAAATGCAATTTCCACTAGTTAATTGTGGTAGTCATTATAATCAATTTTTTTTCCGGATTTACAGCAATGTTCAACCCCTGAAGATGATGAAGACACAGCAAATGATACTGAGTTTGAGAGTGACTCTGAGCATTCGACTGCAGAATCACAAAAGGAAAAGCTAGAATCACAAAGTCTTGTAGAATCTTTACGATCTGCTTCTACTACACTGTCTACACCTACAAGAAAGCGTCCACCATTAAAAATGTTACCACCACATCCGGAAAAATTCTTGAAACAGCAGCCACAACATAAACAATTACCAAGTATGTTTGAAAAGGCAGTAAATAAACTTCAGAAGATCACGGAACAAAGTACTGCAGACACAGAAGACCAGTATGATATATTTTCAAAACATCTTGCTTCCCAATTGCGAGAGCTCCCAACTAGAAGTTTTAATTTTCTTCAAAGTAAAATACAGAACCTAATTACTGAAGAGAGGATGGCTTGTATAAATTCAAGTACCATTCCACCTCAATCACAAGGTGTTGATATGAGTAGCCAGAACAGCACTACATTCCAGAATTTTGATTCAACGTATTGTGAATATGAAAATACACATAGTGGAACATCCGACACCTCTTCCTACATTGAAGAAGGTGACACATATGGATATTCTTAACGCAGCTTTATTCAACATCTGCAAGGATCCTAACAACATGAAGTTGTTAACAAACTTTATATTTACTTATCTGGTTCTCGAGTTAACTAAAATATATAATCTAAAAAATTTAAATGTTCAAGCACATCAGAACACTACATTTTTTTATTTTGATTTTAAATTTATTGATGTATTATTGTCCAAATAATGAAAAACTTTTTGGTTAAAATGTGAAGTTATAAAAATTATTGTTCAACGAGATAATGATAATTGATGAGTAGCCGCTCATGTTTTACGAATAAAAGTAGTTTGATTTACACAATGATTTTAATAACTTACCATAGTATTTCAAAATTTTTTTTTTTCATTATCCTAAGTATATTTATGTGATTAAGACGATGGCATGATTTAAAATTTGATATATTTTGTTATTGTATACATATATTATATATTTTAATTAAGTAAAATTATTGAGTTTTATCGTGTTGCCTAATAAACCAAATTTTATGAAATTTAATTCAATAGTTTTACCTATCTACTATAAAAAAAACTAGAAAGTATATCAAAACTATAACCAAACCAGTGTCATAATTACAAAAAACACTTAAAGTTACATAAGAAATATTTTTAAAAAACATTATCTTCAACAATTGAAATTTAGTTATCTAGACTCTTTTACACGTAACACATACAACGCCGTTCTGACTTTGGCTCTATGACATCACCCACATATTTACAAACTCCTGTATCTCATTGAATAATTAGTGTTAAAGTGTGAGACTCACACCACATTTCTCAGATAATGACTTACGTTAATTCTAAGCAAACTTGTTTTTAGTGTTGTGATGTCCTTACGCTATCCTTTTATGTTATATGAATTATTTTTAAAAATTTTAATTTAGATATTATACTATTCAGTGGCGTAGCCAGGATTATGAAATAAGGGGTGTTGTAATAAGTATAGATTAAAACCAAGTTTTTACAGTTTTTGTATATAAATAAATTTAGGGTTCAAGACTTGTTGCAGTCAAAATTGTCAAAATATGCTTTAATATATGCAGTTACATTTTTATATTATTTTTGAAAAATGCATAAAACATATTACAATTTTGATAATAAAAAACTAAAAAATAAGTAGGTATATATATACATGATAAAAATAATTTATACACGGGTTTACTAATTTGAATATAGGTTGGTACAATGGTACATAGGTGTATAATGGTATATTAATTAATATGATGGACACTATTGCATGTTTTGGACATTTTTAAACTATTGTGAAATAAAACAACTTAACTTTTAAAAATACTGGCATAGGTACATTTAAGTTAAAAAATGTGAAATATGCATACATATGCTAAAAATGACCCAAATGAGCAGTTTACCTAAAATACACAAAAATATGAAAATTCAAAATTTGTATTTAATTTTGCCATTTCATAAAACAAATTTATAACTTATCTAAAAGAATCTACGACCACTACAATAAAAACATTCAAGCAGTCCTGAACCCTATAAACAATACATTTATTAGGGGGGGAAATGTTAATGCGGTGGTTTTAACACCCAAAACCCTTCCTGGTTACGCCACTGATACTATTGTGTTAATAATATGTGTTAATTACTCATATTGACTTGAAAATAAATAAAGATGAATTACATGTCTTAATGGCTTAACTTAATAAATGGTTGGTTAACTTCATAAATAGCAGCCATCACTTTAGGTAAAAAAAAAGGAAATTGAGTTGTGTGGTAAGTACTCTAAACAAAAACTCCAGTGATTTAAAACTATCACCAGTTGCAAGATATCTAAAAGTGATTTCCAACTTTATTTTACATGATATTGGTGTGCTGTTATAAGTGTTTTAAAATGCACAAATAATTAAGTGGGTCACTGCAATGGATGGTGTTCAATTTGAATCATAGTATACAAAAAAACGATTTTAGGCTATAATATTACCAAGTATATTTGATGATATTATTGTGATAAAAGTAATTTATTTTACTATATTATGCATTAGTACAACAGTACGTTAAATTCATTTTTGCCAAAAAAATTACATTTGAAAATGTCTTTTGTGTTTAAAATAAAATAATATAGATACTCTAAAAGTTTCATATACTCACGAATAACATTTTAAAATTACAACAAAATAACTAAAATTGGTATTCTTGGTTTTAATATGTAATTTCGGCCAAATTCTTCAAGTATCTGTAAAAAATAACTGCTTACACATGTTTTAGATTGTTTGGTTACAATATGCACTATTTTCGAGAATCTTTCATATTTTAATTTTTCAATCCTTAGCTATAAAAAATGTACATTTTTTTAATTTCATTTGACATCAAAATAATTTGAAAATTTCCAAGATCTTGATAATTTTTGTCAAAATTAAATACTTGAGGATAAAATCGTGCCTATGGATCTTTAATATTTCTATACTCCTATTATAACTACTCATGGTGAACCTTGTACCAAATGTTCATATCTTAGGTGTACAATGCCATATTTGTATGACTATCTGATTACAAAATTATTTGCAATCATCCAAGTTATAATGAATTTCGTAAAAATTTGAACTTTAAATGCCTATAAAAAAAAAAAAAAACGTACCTATGAATTTGTAATATTTTCCAACTGTTATTATAAATAACTTATGAGGAACTTTGTATTAATTTTTCAAGCTTTTTGACCCAGGGAATACAATTTTATTGAGTTTTATAGAATAAATAAGTAAAATATATCATGTAGGTACCTGTAGCTAGCTGTGACTATTTCTCAAGTAACAATCTAAATCTCATTCATATATGTACGTAATCATATAATAGACGCTCCGCGCAGGGACTAAAATATTGTGTCCCCTCACACACTTTGTGACCCCTGAAAATCAAAGTGTGTCCCCTGATTGACAAATGTGTGTCTCAAGTTTTATGACTTGTTTTTTAGTTTTGTAGGAATAACAAACATTAATCATTTAATATTTTTATTTAATAGTTACCTATTCTGTTAACTAATTTAACTAATTACTTATTTTATTTCTATACTATGGACAAGTTTGTTATAAAAAAGAAGAAGAAATGATAATGGATCAATACAAAGTAAGTAGGTACTTGCCTTAATATATTAAACAACTGAACATACAAGTACATAATATATTTAAATTATTCTATGTTGTGTCTATTGGAATACAATATTGTTTACTGAAACTTATAGGTACTGAAAAGTTAACTAGTAAGAGCATTGTAAACTATAGCATATTGTCATAATATTATATAATTAGGTATACTATAACATATTATAAATATGTGTTTTTATATATTTTAAGTCTGAAATATGTTAAAATATTTTTTTAAAATAACAGATAATCATAATCATAAATTGGACTTTGAAGAATTAGCTAGTTACTTTTCCTTGTTTAATAAATATAACTATAAGAGGTTCTACATACATAATAATAATATAATATACTATTATAACAGTTTATTTAACTAACAAGCCCAATATTATTTTCTAATATTTTTAAAATAATATATATATTTTATATTAATATTTAATATTTTAAAATTTGTTTTTTAAAAAACCTTAATATTCTTATAAAGTAAGTAGTTACATTAATTATTTTCTAATTGATGATGGTAAACTACAAACATATTTACATATTTCCCAATTTACTACAAACAAGGCTTAGTATAGGCTTTTACTGCTTTTAGTGATTTAAAATATTTATTAAACTTACCTCACTAACTCACGTACAGAGTAAGTGGTATATAAAAGAGGGGGTTATTTTTGGGGTTTCAAACCCCACAGGTTTTTTTTGCTATAGAAATCTGTCAAAGCCCAAAAGTAACAGTTAAATTAATAAGTGTGTCCCCTGAAATCAGATGTATTTTAGGCCCTGGGCCTCCGCGTAAATATAAATATAATTGTAATACGCGAGCGTTGCTCTCGTAAACGTTAATAATAATAATAATAATAATAATAATAATAATAATATCGCTGGTACCTACCATGTATACAGTACGTGTGTAGTAGTGGAGTGACGACAGGGGCGTACTCAGGACTTTTCAATGGGGGGGGGTTGAACATTTTGTTTTTTATCACGAGGACTTTGTCACCTCCTTTTTAAAAATATTAAATATAAACATGGTAATGTACTCTACAGAAAATAAATTTCAAAAATGAAAAATGTTTATTTAAAGAACAATATTCCGATTCCGATTGATTAACGTGTTCATGTTTTCTTTTAAGATTATTGTAGGGTTCAATGTACTTAGAACTTCCAGGCACACTAGTAAAAAATGTTATTATTTTATTTTTATTTTTATTTTTTGACTTTAAGCGTTTATGGAAAAAGAATAAATACTTAAATTTTAATACTATCATTAATATTTTTCAAAAGTATATTAAATTACTATACATTTTAATAATTAATCTGTGTGAAATAGTACAAGTAATTTTAGTATATACCTAATTTAGAAAAAACAATTAATAATTTTGATTAAGGGGGCCTTGACAGTTTTACATTAAATGTAGGGAGCCTCATGACAAAAAAAAATGAGAAATACTGTACTAGATTATAGTGTAAAATATCTAAATATAATAAATATAACTAGCTGTCCCGGTAAAAGATCATGTTTTTAATGTTGCATTTCAATTTGAAAACTACATATACATTTTTCACTGTTTATTTTTCTAACATAATTTATATTTATTGAAGAAATATTTAAACAAATATTTTGACAAAGGTTGGTTGCTCAATACACAGTCAAATATTAACCAAATATATCATAACGCATTATGTCAAAACAAGAATGATATTCACTTACAAAAGAAAAAAATGAGCAAGGTGCTAAAAACAAGAAAACACCAAAAAAACTAAACAATTTTTCAAAATTAGTCTGAAGTTTATAAGATAACAATTATTGAATAATATTATAATTTAAATAATATACCTAATCATAAAATAAAATATGCAAAATATTTTAAACATGTTTTTAGTTTTTTATGAGCACTAGAA